AATAAAAATAAATAAATAAAAAAAAAATAAAAAATTTAGATAGCTTGCAGGTGGATTTGGGGAGCAGAGATCTGAGTATCATTGGCTTCAGCCTAAAACTTACAGGAAAGACCTTATGTTTTTCTAAGCATTTTTTCTTGGTTGGCTCCTGGCTATTTTGTAGTAGTGTGTGAATTCTCTTTTGCTAAAGGATCTCTCTGATTTATCTTCAAAGAGTATTTCTCTTGGTTCATTATTTTGACCTAAATCGTGTCTTTCTTAGATGACTGAGGTTTTTAAATTTTATTTCTTCTCTAAAACCATTTGCTCAAAACTTTTTTCCTCTACGGCTGTTTTTTTCATCAAATGTTCTCTCTCCCGAGAGGCTGTTGGCTATTTGTCAATATTTGATCTGCCTGTGAAGCATACTTCTGTGAGGTGACCTTTTATTATGAAATGGTGTCTCTCTAAAGTGAATCTTACCAGTTCTTGATCTCCCTCTCTGTTTGTCTGCCTCTTTCTTAGCTAGCCTAGTGACTTTAAGAAGTACTCAGTCTCTCTGTTTTAATGAAATTAAATGCAGTCGTTGTAATGGTAAATACTAAACAGCAAAGAGATACATCAGAATCCAGTACAACTTCCAGCAGATGCTTAGCAAAGAGCTTGAGACTGTGCTTATAGGTATAAGAGAAAAATCCCCTGCATTTCCTTCAAATGTAAATATTGAAAAATTGGTTTTCATGGAATTTTCAGCAAAATGAAAATAGTAAAATAAATAGTGGAAAATGCCATGTGTACTGACTACTTCTCAGGCTTTTTTGGGGGGTCATATTAGCCAGGCTAAACATTATTGAATCCAATACATTCTTAATCCAACTCCTTTGATTTCTCTGTCACTGAACTAGTGATGAACCTGAACCATGAACATTGAAAGAGTAGAATTAAGGCAATGCTGCAGTCTTCATGGTAGCTAAATTATTGATGCTGTTAGAGGTGAAAGAATTTTCATTAGGAGATGATAAAAGTGCCAAAAATAAGTGGGGGGAAAATATTTGTGAGATTTTCTCCTTGTTTTTGAATGGGATAGATGTTAGGTAGAAAGGAAGTTATCTTTAATGCACACTACATGTCTCGCTAATGACAAGAGTGTTTCCCCTAAGAGTAAACTGAGACCTCTGAGCTGGTTTAGGGATACCTCAATGGAAATAGTTGCATTACTCTGTCCTCTGCCTGTGGGCAGTCATGGAGAGCTTTTTCCGAGGTACTCTTCTTGCCATAGATGATTTTGCAATGTACAAATAAAGGAAAACCTATGCAGTTTTAAAAATAATTTCTTTAATGCATTTTACATATTGTACTTTCAATATCAGTAAGTATTTCTGGCAGCCTCTTAAGATATCCATTATTCATTCTTTATTAGCTGATATTCCAGTCTACCAAGGAAAGAGAGCATTCAAAGGTCTTGAAGTTCAGTACGTGCTAGTCTTTTCTAACCTTACTTTTCTCAATATGCAACTGTAGATCAGCGGTGTTTTGAAAGTCATGTATTCAGCAACTGTGTCATGATTTATTTTTTTTTATAGAGATCAAGCAAGTTCTCAATAACAAGAGAATTTTGAAATGCAAAAATTTCAGGATTTTTTTAATTTACTTTTTGGCTTGTAAGCTTTTTTTAATTCACTGAGAGCATGTTTTCATTTTCTTCACTGAAACTGCTAAAAATAAAAATATACCTATTTTTCTTCTTGTATTACAGTAACTTCATTCACGCATCTAGAGGTTTAAGAAACTTCCCTCATATCAGATGACTCATGAAAAAATACTAAGCTTTCTTACGACTGAGTCCTGATCTTATGCTGTAATGAGACATATATATATGTTTATATTTGCTGCTTCACTAATATAAAAAGACCCTAAACCTTCCCTACTTGGAATAGCACTCTTCAAAGTGCAATCCTTCTTTATTGTTGACACTAACATAGTGTTATTGGGGTTTTCCAGACCAGTATGTCTCAAAGAGGAGAAAGTTTAGTTTGCTGCCATCCGTGCCTGAGAATGGAAGGAACACAGATTGCTTTGCATGCTCCAATTCGACCTGGTTGCCCTGAGGACTCCTTGGTTCTAGTGTGTTTTCTTAGAAAAATTGTTGACATTTACTCCATTTCAGTAATTATTAATTAGCATACTTTGATAATATTATGGTTTTTTAGATGTAAATATGAAAGTCAAGGCCCTGTTGAAAATACCCTGATAGATCATTGCATTTGCATGAAAAAGTTGTTTAAACTTCTGTGTCAACTAGGCTGGTTTTTTGTGCTGTCCAGATGTTCCCACAGCAATGAGAAGATATTCTTTGATAATTGGAAGAAGTTTTTTTCTGATTTCTTTTAATTGAAAGGTTATTTGTTGCTATTATTGGTTGTGAAGTGTTTTCCTGTCTGTATCCTATGGTTTCTGTATAAATGTGTGCTATTTATAACTATAAATAAATGTCAGCCAATAAGGACTTCGGGGTTTTGAGAAAACCATCAAGTATGGCAAAATATGATGGCATACAGATACTCACAGATAAGACAGATCTACGGCATTGCCATTTGTCCTTCTCTCCTCATCAGTTAAGCTGTTTATTATTGCCTCATTTGTGTTATCTGCAGACTAGCTGTACTGAAAAATGCATCAAAAGAAAGGGAACAAAACCGTTTCACAGCAGTAAGAGTTACATGCATGTGCAGGTAAAGCAATACAAGACAAGCCTTCCAAGAGCCTTCTCTTCCCCAGTAGTTTCCCTGCTTTTGCACCCTGTATATCCTGTTCTCTCTAACCCTTGCCTCTGCATTTGTTTTGATATGAGTTGCATGAGTACACAGGTTATCCAACAACCTTATTTTCAAGTGCCAGTACTGTTAAAAGATCAATTATGTAAACTACAGACTATAAACATGAAACTACAGTCATTTGTGATGTTCTTTTAGAATCATCTGAGGGTTTGTAAAAGTGCTTGTATTGAGATGTTTTTGAGAATGTGTATGTAATGTGAAATATGTATTCATCATTGAAATTTCCCTTATAGTTCTGATATGCCCTAAAATATCTATTTTAGGTTTGCCAGAACCGAACAGAGACAGTACATTCCAAGGACTGGGAATGGATCAAGGATTCTACACATCTAAAGACTTCCTACCTTTGGTAGCTATGGCCAGTAAGCCAGGTGTGTGATGTTTTTGTTGTAATCGTATTCAGTAAGTCATTAGCAGTTATTGATATATCAAAATGGACAGCTGTTTACATAGCAGCACATCTGATTACGAAACACCTCCCAATAGGTGGTGAGAATAGGTCTCAGGCAGGATTTTCTCTTGGTGAGTTGCGACCTCAGGAGTGTGGTCAGGAAAGGCAGTCCTAGAGACTGTAAAGCAAAGAGTCATATATGAAAATCTAAGCACGTGGCAATCATTACCTCTAATAAGTTATGTTTGTTATTTTGAGTTATATTCAAAAGATGTCATAAGCTTCTCATTTATATAAATTACCTCCATATAAATAATATATATAAGATGGTTTTGAAAAAATCTGATATTAAAGGTGTTGCCGACCCATGTAAGCAGCTGCTCTGTCTATTGTTGATAAATAATTTTACTTGATCCCAAGTCATGTGCTCCATGTTTTACAGACACATTTAAGGGAGCACTTGTTCTTTACCCAAAGAACTTACAGTTTAAGACTCAGGACAACAGTAGTATGCCAGGAGTTAATAAGACAACACTCAGTTCATAGGGACCAAATGCAGTCTTGTTTTATGCTTTTACATCTTTGTTTTGAGTACAGAGATGACTGTGTTTGCCCCCCAAGGAGTATAGCTGCTTTTAGTGGCCCTGAATATGAAGTCATAAGCCCCAGATGGATGTATGAGATGGGACTCATGATTTCTACGCCACGTTCCCTTGTGGTCTAGATTCCCCAATGTGTTGATAAAAAAGAAGTTCCATGTACAGTTTTCTGGGCATCATAATTAGTGCAGTATATGGTCTTGTACATATGACCGCATATTTAACCACACATATACCTTTTTTATCTACAAACTAATTTTATTCTGAGCATTGAGAAATTTCTTTTAGCATCATGTAGACCTTTCTGCTTATTTGGTAGACTTTCCATAAACAATGTGTTGAAGAATATATCTTCTGCGGCAAATTATTCTGCATATAAAAGTAAAGTTTATTACCCCATTTTATGCAAAATATTTAGGAAAGGAAATTCTGCATCCCATCTGTCCCATCTCTCTGCTGTTTTGATCAAATGCTTATTTCTGTCTGCTTTCTTAAGCTCAAAGTGAGCTCAAATGGGTTGGGAGAAAAGGGTGGTGTGTTTTGTGGTTTATTCTTGAAGAAAGATGTTTAAAAATGAAACAGATTGAGAATCTGCACTGTAAAACATTTGTAGATTAACAAAGGAAAAATAAATCCTGCAAAACAATCCCCTCGTAATAATTTTACTAAAAATTCTTTATAGAATTCTGTGTGGACACATTGCACTTGTGTACTGTAAGTCACCTGCCTGCATGAGGATCTATATACTGTGATCCGCATCTTTTAAAATGTTGCAAAGTAGTACTCTCGATTCGCCAGGATATGCAATGATTATTTTTTTATATATATATTAAGTCTACAATCAAAAAAAGGGTGAACTTTGAAGAACTAACCTTTTCTGACTGACAGTAATAGATAGCTCTTTGGTGTTGTCTGTTAATTAACATGGTCTCTTTTACTTAATTTTCCTAGTGTCTGTCTGTAGCTATAGCCACGTCTTGCTCTCTAAAGCTTGGAATTTTAAAATAAAATACACATGTCCTATATCCCACTCTATCGTCTTTTTTTTTTTTTTACTATGACAGCTCTCTAAATAATAGACATAATAGACTTATTCACGGGGAAATACATATTCTGTCTGCTTACTAAGTTCTAAATACCACTTGTTAATACACTTTCCTCCAATCCCCTTGCACATACGTAGACATGAATTTACCTTAGGAGTGGCCTTGTTACCAAGAGCAAAGTGGGCTGCTGTGACTGATCCATTCTGGACTAGTCCTGACATGGCACTCAGAGCTGCCATTCCCCTGCTGCACTTGCGCTTTTTCCACTGCTCAGTGTACAATTTTTGTGAAGGATTAAGTTTGTTAAAAATAAATGAGAAAAGTTTAGAGAGAATTTTAGAATAAGAAGCCTATGAAGTAAAAAGTAAATGCAATACCATATACATAGAGGGGGGAAATGTTAGCATTTGCCATACATCAAATATTTTACAAATGGAGAGAGAATATGTGTATTAGGATGTTGTTTCTCACTCTGTTTATATGTCTAAATTACATGCCTTGTTTCCTTGAATGATACTTGTGTTTCTTTACAATTGCATGTGAAAATCTGCTGCTACTATAGCAGGATACTTGAGTTACAGTGCAATGATTAAATGATCAGCTTAGGTACCTCCTGATTGAAATTGTCACAGGCTTATTGAGAATATAGCTTTATATTGTTTATGGCATTATTTTTTAAGTTGCAATAATTTGCCTAATCAACAGTTAGTTGTATTTAAACTTATGATAAAGTGCAGTCTCATACAAGGAACACACACAGTTCAGTTTTACTTAAAAATTTCTTGTATAATCAAATCGTCAAATACTATCTGTAGATGATGAGCACAAAATGTTGTCATTCTCTCCATGTAACTTATTGCAAATAATTTGTAGAAAGCCATTGTAGATTAAATGTTTTCTCCCAGTGGAAGATCTAGGAATTACTGTAATACCAATATTCTTTCTGCCTCCTGTTCAGCTGCCATAGAGCATAGCCTCTGAGAACCATGTCATAGCAAGACCAGTGTCAGTGCGTTGTAGCAAACTGACTGAGGGGACTAACTTTGAGAAACTATTACACAAAATTATCAACAACTGGTCATCTTTTGAAAAATATCAAGAATTACTTTTTATATTCTGTTAAAAGGTGTTGTTTTTCTTAACTGGGAGGATAATGATTCTGATAAGAGAGAAACTTACTTTTTGAATAAAAAGATCTCACAGTATCAACCTGACAGGACCCACAGTCCTACAAACGTGTTGTCATTTGAATTCTTTCCAGATAGAAAGGTGCAGCTGCTTAGAGTACTGACTATGAAATTATGTATATGAGCATATCTTAAAAATGGGAATAAAACTGTCTTTCAGTGAAGCAGAATAATTTGATAGTGACACTCCATGCTTGGAAACTGTAAGATGCAATTTTACACTGCTTTGAGTACAAGTACCTTTTGAGCTGTCATGCAGAAATGGTTTCTCTACTTGAAAATGGGGTTTTCCTTTCATCTTTCAGGGATGTGTGCCTGTCACTCTCCATTGCCATCAATACATGGAACTGTGATTGTACTTGGGGCAGGAGACACTGCTTTTGACTGTGCAACATCTGCTTTACGCTGTGGAGCTCGTCGCGTGTTTGTGGTCTTCAGGAAGGGATTCACTAATATCAGGGCTGTCCCAGAAGAGGTAAAATTGAATAACAGCATTTATGAGAAGGATTACTGGTTGTTCTTTCTATAGGGCTTGAAAGTATGCTGTAGGTACTTTAAGACATCTACTAAAGGTTTTGTTTATAAAAATGCTCTTAAAATGTGTAAATGTTTATTAAAGATCTGAGGCTCACTTTATATAGTGTCTGTATAAATAATTTTCCTCTGTTGTACTTGTTTCCTGTTAAAGTCAGATGCATTTGCATACAGGGGATAGAATTTCTTGTAAATTAGAAAATATAGTAAAATTTTTAATCTTGGAAGCATCTCAGAGATCAAACAGCCATTTGAGTATTGTAGGTGACTCTTCAGGTCATGGTTAGATCCTGGAATGATACCTTTTGGCTGCTGTCTAATGTATCTGAGTGATACTGACGTTGCCTTGGGAGCCTATAAAATCTTGTAAGAAAATTACTTACAGTGATTTTGGCTTTGAGTCACTGCCAATGGCAATAGAGCAATGTCATTCATCACAGATTTCAGCATTCAATTTGATTTTTAGTTTGGCTTTGCACTTTGGCATTTACCAGGACATCTGCACATTTTGAAACTGACTCTGCTTCCTCCATATATCTGTACTACAGGAGAGTTTTTTCACATTAGGTTTTCTTATTTTGGTGGTCTTTTTCCGTTATCGTTTATTTGATACATACTTTACACTTTTGTATACTTGAGGATATCAGGACATCTGGTGCATCTTTATCATGAGATTTATGGTAGTTTGGTCATCTGTTTCAAGTAGGTACGCATCTTAGAGATCTTACAGAAGGGGAATGGAGGTGCAAAAAGGTAATAGAGGGTCTCTTGATGCATAGTTTACTTCTGTTGCAATTCATTTAAGAATTCTAGACACAATGAGATTACTGAAGCCATTGCACAGATAGACTTATGTGCTATTCAGATTCTTACTAATCAAGAAACAGCTGACACTCTGAAGCAAAATCTGTGTTAGCAGCCTGAGTGAATTCCTAAAAGTTGTCAATGTTTGTACTCATCCAATCATGCAGTGGCCTTGAAAACAAGTAAAATAAAAGTAGCTTCAGCTAGTAACAGCCATGCTAGAATGATGTCAGGTTGGATATTACGTGTTCAAAAAAGTTGTCCTGTAAACATAGACAATCAAATCCTGAAGACTTTGCTAAGACAAAATGCTGTTTGACCTCAGCAGTTTTACCACAACAGACATTCAGAAGATCTTAAGTCTGGATTGTCACTCAGAAAACTGTTGTTTGCACATGGTACTCAGCATTTAGTAACATCTTAAGATCATAGTAAACACAAATCAGGGCGTGTACTTAATATTAGGCCTCCTCTTAAAAGATGTGGATGCTTACATAAGGTAACTCTTTTGCCCTCAAAGGAGTTATACGTATTCAAAGTAGCAGGGAACAATAAGAAAATATGTTGGAGAAATATTTACATTGCAGATTTACCTAGTACCACTGTCTAGAAATGCTTGATTTAATAGCACGGTGGGCTCTGACGTTAGTATTAAGATGACTATGTATACCGTACGCAGGTGACTTTTACTACAGAAGAATGTGTGATAGCATCTTGAGTGAAAAAAGTTATATTTTATTACTTCTACTCTACAGATGGAACTTGCAAAAGAAGAGAAATGTGAATTTCTGCCTTTCCTCTCCCCTCGGAAAGTTGTACTTAAAGGTGGACAAATTGTTGCTATGGAGTTTGTTCGAACTGAACAAGACAGTGAAGGAAACTGGAAAGAAGATGAGGATCAAGTTGTCCGTCTGAAAGCTGATGTGGTGATCAGTGCCTTTGGCTCCATTTTAAGTGATGATAAAGGTAACCCCGACTAACACATTCCGTAAATGCTGATTGTTATTTTAGCTGCAGCCATTTCCTGTCCTTTGACAGTTTTGTGAAATGAGTCTTCTGGAGGTTGTGCAGCTTATGACTGCTGGTCCTCTTCACAGGAATTTCTTTGTCCTTTAGATATACCTCTTAGAACAAAACTTGAGGAGTCTGATAACAAAGTAGTTTTCTGTATATCACTGTGTAGAGCAGGAACTCCAATTAGAGGTGCAGTTGCTCAGTATATATCTTGCTTTCCTCTCAATGCAAATGGGATCTCAAAGTATACTCTTGGGGATTTCTTCTGGTCTCACTAATTAACTTTAGAGAAACTCATTATGCTACAACTTTAAGCTGAACTGATCTGATCTCTGAAACCTTTTTTTTTACCTATTAAATTAAGCAAGAATTAAGACAGATTCATTATTCTGGTTCAGCTGGTCTGGATATCACTCATTTCTTGTGCATACACAAGAGAACTGTGGCTTCTGTCATGTGGAGTATTTGTTAGTTCACCAGTGCTTATCTCAGCTTGTCTCATTATTTAGTTGCAGTTTACAAGCTTTCATCTTAAAAATTAACAATTACATAGTTCCATATTAAAGATAGAGAAATTGGCGCATAGATGGCATTTCAGAGATTGAACGAATTGTCTGGATGCAGCAGAAAGAGAGCTGAAGAACATGAGTACAACTAAGAACATGGGACCTGAGCAGAGCTCAGGCTGTTCTCCTCTGACACTAGGTTAGATTTAAAGAGTTCAGGCACATACATCAAATGTGCCTCAAAAGTGAAAAACACTGACTCAACAGAAGACAGACTGATAAAATGAATAGGTCTTCAGCCTGGAGACTCTCATCAGGGTTAGCAGGTTCTGAAAACCTTAGTGATCAGTGAGCCTACCTCTCCAGGGCATGGTCATGCCAGCCAATTAACCCATGACATGTTGTCATGGTCCTTTGGGTATAAATGCTCTGACAGAGGACTTAGCAAGTGCCTCAGAGTGCATGTCACCAGAAAATTTGGTAATCAGGTGCTAGTTCTGCCGGTGCAAAGGGAGTTTCATTTCTTAGCATAATGTGGTTTTGTGAATTTTTTTAATCAAGCAAAATCATAAATCTAAAATAATCTAAGCAGAGTCTAGTAGCATTTGTGAATATACCTCAGGCATATAAAATGTATGACTTCTCACATACGCATTTTCTCTGTATGCCTTATAGATAACACTATTTTAAATGAAGTTAAATGGGTTTTCTGATAGTAAGATTTTCAGGAGTTATTGGTAGAATTGTACAAAAAGCTTACTGACTTCATAGGAAGACAAAACATTAGTTAATGAAGATAAATTATAGGTCCCATTGAAGAATTTTAGAATATAGCCACTAGCAGAGTTGTCTGTGATCTGAATAAGCTACATGGTGCTTCCTGTTCACCAGTCCAATTGTATACAAAGTTAAACCATCATACAGCCGTGAGAAGAGTTTAAACTCCTCTCCTACAGTAAAAAAAGGATTAACCTGGTTCCTTGAGGAACATGCAAAGTTATTTCCAGGAGCATTCCTATCTTGTGTGTGTTACTATTGCTTTGGGATAGGTTCATGCAGCCTAGGCTATTATCTAGACAGCAACTGCACCTGGCTACATACAGTGCTAATTACTCAAAGCTGCCTCCTGCCCTGCAGTTGCCTTCTGCTCTAAAGGGCATAGGAGGTGCAATCTATGTCTCTTTCAGGGAGCAGACTCTCATTCCACTTGGAGATGTATCGCTGTATAAAGAATCTGGCATCTGTCGGTCATGTTTTAAGGCTCAGTCTAACCTCCGGGAAACAGGGAGAAGAAGATTAAGATTTTTTTAATCTCGGAAAGTTTTATTGTTGTTTTTAAAACCTTGGTTTAGGTTTTTTGGAAGGTTTTCTAGAACCTCATGTGATAGATCAAATATTAGCATATACAATCAATAAGTTTTGTTGTGGTTCATAGACCCTATGATAAAGGAGTGATTCAGTTTTCCCCACATTAAGAACTGCTTCAGCTAAAACTTACTGTGTTGTTTAGCTATAATACTGTGCCAGTCTTATATTTCCTAAGACACAGTCACTGTCTAAATTAGTCATTGTGAGGTTTTTAAATAGGAATATAAAATGTGAGGGGAACAAAGTCATACAGTGAGCTGATCATGAAAGAAGAGAGTCATTTACCTTGGGGGTAAGCAATACACCTCAGTTTCACACTGTATTTTTGGTGAAACTGCTATTAGAATAGCAATCAAATTACAAGGAAAAATGCAGGGCTTTTGTTTTGGATGTTGCAAAAGAGAAAAGAAACTAAGACTTGAGGGAATAAAGTGTTTATTTTGAGCATACCATTTCAGTTGCTTTTAAATCTTTATTTTTTGACTAGGCTGTCTTAATGAAAGTCAAATTTGCTTTTCACCGTTGAGCTGGATTACAACCAAATCTCCAGGCTACCCCAGCATACATAACAAAAAGAAATGAAAAGAAACAAGAAAACCAAACCATCAGAAGCATCTTATATTCTTAATGTTTTTTTTTTAAAAAAGGAAGAGCATTTTTGTATTCAAGAGTTGGGTATTCAGGTATTCTCCATCAGAAGATGGAGATGAAAATACTGGAGGTACTCAAAACTGGACAATGTCATGGGCAAACTGATCTGACTTGGAACTTGATCTAACTTTGAAGAATGGAATGGACTAGGTGACCTCCAGAGGGCCCTTCTAGTCTGAATTATACTATGACTGGATGACTCAGATGCAGGTTGAATAAATGTGTTAATTATTGCTTATAGAAAGAGCTCAATCAATTGACCTAATTCATCAGGGAACTGCAAATGCAGTATTGGTATGGGCTAAGCTAGCAGGATATGTCTTATTTGTTATTAATATTGCTAAATGCTGATGCTACGAATACAAGAATAAGGAAAATACTATGAAAACCAGAGGAATTAAAATCAGACTTAGCCCCAGTTCAGCAAAGTGTTCGGAGCAGCCTTGAAGCCCATGTTTTAAAGTTTTGTTTAACAAGACATAAGCACGTGGGTGACTGCTGTTCTGAGCAGAAATAGCTCACAGGTTAGACAGCTTTTTCTGATCTATTATCCTCAACAAGGTGTTTCTTCTTCTTGCATGGTAACTATTAAATTTACAACTGAAATTACATGTGCTCACAGTAGGTATTTAGTCTTTTTGTTTTGTTAAAAGAAAATGCTCATTGTGTTTTTAAGCAACAGTTTTAGTAGGTATTCATCCTCCCATTGGGAATCATATAAATGCATCATTAATTTAAAAAAATGGACTCCTAAGTCCACTTTATCCTCGGGAAGTTGCTAATAGACAAAACGGGAGAGTTGCTTTCTGGACTATTTTAAGAACATTACCCTTTTACTGAAACCAGTAAAAAAAAAAAACAAAAAACAAACAACAAATTGTTCAAATGAAACTACTGCAGATGGACTAAGAAAAGTGTTTTGCTTCTTGTTGAAAAAAAAAAGATTTTCCAAGCACAAGCTGCTTTTTTTTTTACTGCATAGCTTACCCAAGCCTTCAAGCCATCATAACTGACCCACATAAACAAAGAGCTATGAGAGAATTTTGTACATTTCCTCGTGTTCCTGCTCTTTTGCTTGGCTTGTTATTTTGGAGGCTTACAATGTATTAGTAAATTACTGAAATCTCTTCTGTCACCATTCCAAATTGCAACTGGTCAATACATACAAATGTAATTCTGTGTACTTCCTAGCACTGTGTACAGCTTCAACATCCTACTTAACACTGTTCCAGTTGGTTTTAAAGTCTAAACTTTGAATAACTATTGTCTTACCTATTTTGTTCTGATAAGCAAAAGGGAACAATATTTTTGGACTGCAAAATTTTGCACTGTAACGAATTTCCTTGTTCTGATTTATTTTCCTGAATTTCTGAGGAGAACCATGGAGAAACACAAGAGTGTAACTACTGCCCCCCGAGTATAGTTCAACATACAACAAAGATAGATTTGCCCAAGTAGTTATAATTTTATTATTTAACCCACTCCTACTTAATATTTATTTGTATAGATTGCGAAGCATTTGCTGGGGAAAAAGCGAACAAGCTTGCAGAGCTCTTGGCTCGTAATTGAAAAACATTTTAGTTTTCCTTTGTATAAATGCAGAACTTCGAATACTACAGAAGCCAGCAAACCTGCAAGAAGTGTTGGGTTTCTTCATACAGCCTGCTTAGACAACTAGGTAACTTCAGCCTCAAAGCACTGAAGCCACTAACAAAGGACTGAGAAGGAGGAAGAGAGGTGGCTGTGATGCCCCAGCTGGGAATGCCCACGGGGGTGACCTGGTGTCTCCCTGGTAGCACAGCATCTGCTTCACACCCACAGAATAGACTTCTAGTCACCAGACTTTTTTAAAAAATTGTTATATAAAACTGAAATTTATATAGATTCAAAAGGTTCCTAGTGAAATAGGTAGGAGTTTTCCTGCCAAGTCATTTGGAATAGGATTTTCCCCCACAAATAGGTTTACTGAATGAGTTTGAGTGCAGCAGTTCCACATCCTGAAGTAATTACCAATTTCCAGTATCCAAAAGTTGGCTTCATGATGGCTTCTAAAGCCCTGTTAACTTAGAGCAGGAATTCTGCTCTTTAACCCAACAGACATCAGTAGACATTTGCTTGCTGGTGACAGGCAGAAAACAAAGTCAGTACCAGCTTGCAGCAGGAGCCTCTCCTAGCACACCTGGACCCAGCTTTATCTAGTCAAACCACTTAATCCTGGTTCAGTACGCTAGTGGGGCAGAGACATCTTCATGGGAAGCATGATGGTGCCTGCCTTTATTTGCTGGGCATTTAGACTGGGCAATGTCAGCAGTTAATCAGTCTATTGATGCATGTGACAGCTGTAGTTTTACATTTGAGATTAAGAAAGTTACAGTATATTTGTATTTTTCTGAAGTAATGCTACTATTCACTGTAAAGGAATTCTGTAAGATGGAGATCAAAAATAACATTAATGAGCTACTAAAGCTAAAATTACAGGAACTTATGAAATTGGTTAAACATAAAAACCATTAAACTGTTTATTGAAGCTTCACAGATATACTGCAGCTAATGAGCATTTCTGCTATTTAAATAAGCCCAAATTGAACACACATTACATGGATACATAATTAGTCATGGCAGTCAAACACACACAGACTCACTTTTAAAGCTTTATTTGAGGAATCTTTTCCATTTGATTTGTTTTGTTAATTAAAATATTTTTTCTGTATTCACTTATATTTTAATATTGTCTTTGCAAGTGCTATAATTTGCTGCTGCTTCTCTGTTTGTGTTTGTTTGCTCTATGAATATAGCAAATTTGGAATATATATTCAGAACTGTCCTTTTGTTTGGTATTATTTGTGTTAGCATCACTTGATAGCATCAGAATAATTCAATTGTATGTTGTCTTTCATCCAGAAGGATCTTTTAAAATTACAGATATCTCATCAGGATATGGAGGAGAATGCAGCAGAGCCACAGGATTGTACTTTTGAATTTTCAAGAGAAAAGCTATGTTATTTTTAATAATAACATGTAATTTTAAAGGGTGGGAGGGTGCAGGGATTTAAAAGACAGTTTTTTCTTTATACCCGTCCTAAATCATATACCAACAAAAACATTAGTTGTCTAGTTTGCTTATTGTTCAGTGTCAAACAGCAATTCAGAGAACTGATAGTTGGGGTCACCTCCTTTCAAGCTCCGGTTTGGCTCAAACTCTCTCTCTCTCTCACCCCTTGCAGGGGCGGAGAAGGGACTGCCCCTTGTGAAGACTGAAGTTCTCCACTTCTTTCTGCAGATGGTTTAGGAGGTGGTCCCCTCAGCCTCACATTTGCCCTGGATACCAGATCCAAATTCTGAGGATGTTAGGAACTCTTTTATATAAGATTCTTTTAAATCATTCTCTTATTTTTACTTAACCTAAATCTTGGAGATTATGAAAAAGACAGAAGGAAATAGCTGCTGGATACCATGTCAACCTTGCTACCAGGGAAATGTTCTTTCCCAATTTCAAAAATACTGATCAGGCAGACAGATCCCCAGGCCCTGGGGAGATATTTCAGGTGAAGATATGTTGGGCATTCTTTGCACTCAAGAAGCTTTTGATATAATTATGTTCAGACAGCTATTTTAGCACAAAACAATCCAAAGATAAATTTGAGAAATGTAATAGATCCAAGATCGCAGAGGTAATACCGTATTTTTCCACAAGACAAAACAATCCAAAGATAAATTTGAGAAATGTAATAGATCCAAGATCGCAGAGGTAATACCGTATTTTTCCACAAGATGAAATAAGTAGTCAGAATGTCCAGTTTTACATCATTTCTTCTGAAAAAGTGTATCTCCAATAGTATGTTGCTCTCTAATACCTTTACTGTGGTTCAGTCCTGTCTCAGAGAAACAAAAGTCATCTATTAAATCCCTGATACCAAATCCTGCAGCACCAAGTTTTCATCTGGGTTTTTTCCAGACATGTCTTTACAAGCCTGTACGTATTCAGCTTGTGAGAACTGTCTAGACCACATGCTGAGGTGGTACCACTGCATGCAATAAGTTATCCTGTATATGACAAATATAATATGATCAAAAGTTTTCTTGAAGTACAGACGATCTGAGACATAAAGAGAAAGTTAATGTATTGATTTCTAAATATTACTGAAACATTTTAATAAAACTGCTATCAGCCATTATCAGCACTTTCCTTTAAAAAAAAAAAACCCACAACCAAAAAAACCCCCAACCCAAACAAACAAACCAACAAACTCGTGTTCCAGACTGAAAAAATATCTCATTCTGAAGGTTGTGTTTGATGTGATCTTTCAGTAATTTAAATATTTTTAAAGGAAACCATTTCATAAGTTTTTGATTCTGTTACTACGGAAATACTATTTTTGCCAAGTAAAGCCACAAATATATGTGAGGTGGGAGGGATTGTGCAAGCAATAGGTCTTGAAGATAGATTAAATGCTGCTGGTATGAAAATCTGCTATAGTCTTTCAGCTCAAAACTGTCTTCTGTGATTCTGGCTTCTGAACGAGTTGCAAAAAAGTACTTTGGATTCGAGTTCTCTGGATATATGTTTGTGTATGCCAAGGGTGAGGAGGAGAGTGTAGGTGGGGCAAGAAGGTGTCAATGTTTGTGCCTTGGTTCCTATTTTATTATTTTGCCCCTGATTATACACAGCCCTCACTTTGAAACATAATTCTAATATATGATTTGGAGGTGAAGGGAGATACAGAGGCTGGGAAGAAAATTCCATCGTGATGATGTGCAAGAAAGATGCATTTGAAGCTTGCTGTATACTCAGGTGTACGCTGGGGCAATACTGTGACTTTGCTGTCGTATTGTAGAAATATTCTTGTCTTAAACTGGCAGGCGTCTCTTTTATATATATGACAGCACAACTACATCAGTTTAATTGACCTTGGCAATCTGCATCTGCTAGTGGTATGTCCCTGAGGGACGTTGCAATTTTAAGCTGCATTTTATTGCAGAATCTTCACTTCCTGTAGACAAAGCTACATAAAAACCTCTCATTTTGATATATGCCATCAACATTTGGTAAAAATACTTATTGAAAGTGTGTTTCTCTTCATGAAGCTACTTTGAACTGTCTCTGCGATTATAATAAAATAATTAAAAATGCATAATAAAAATCGTGTTAATATAGAGCAAGAATATTTTTTTCTGAACATTTATGTGTATTTAATGGCATTTTTCTAATTCCATGCAGTATAAAAAATTACTTTTTTGTATTTACATCTACATTATTTTTAAGGACAATAATAGTTCATGTGCAGAGTGCCTATATATGCTGTTTACTGACATAAAAAAATTAAGATATCTTAATGCACACTCTAAAAAACCAACAAATTTCAGTGAAAAAGATACAAAATATATTGTCTTCATGTAGACATTTCATTTTTATTGTGTTTTTATGTTTTTATTTTTAATAATACGTGACAAGTTTCAAAGTAAGCCTTACTTGCAGGATGTTCTGAGTTTAAATATTAAGTCAGGTTTTGACTTTATTAAAATGTATGTTTTTCAGAATTAAATTTCTTTAAAACCAACACACTTTGTCAAAGCCAAAGCCTTGATAACATAACATTTCTTAGTGGGAAAATGTTCCATCTGAAAATTTTCAGTCCAGTTTAATAATGACCTGTCAAAAAGTAGCAGAGTATCATTTCTGTTGTGACGGTTAATAAATGTGGGAAGTAAATTCTGGAGATCTAAAGGAATTTCTAGAAATTGTATCAGAAACATTCTTTTCTAGTTTTAAATGTCAAAAATCATATGCTGCATATTAAGTTGCAGAAGAGAGTATATGATAGGTTATTCAGGAGAAAAGCATGTTGATACGGTCAGTGTAGTACAAAGCTATGGGTGGGGGGAAAGGGAGAAAATTTATTCTTCCTTTGTTAATATTGCTCATTAATGGGATTTTCAGAAGTGCTGGACTTTTTCCCTGGGAGATGAATAGTGCCGGTGAGAATGACTTTGTGAATCCAGTTTCTGGGATATGCAGTGTATTCTCAGGGAGTGACCAGAAGAACATTAGCAGCAACTATTTCTTAAGCCTGCGTTGAGTCAGTCACTTCTTGTGACGCTTGTGTGCATTTGTTTTGTACGCAGGTCTGGCTTTGCAGGCATGCAGGAACTGGTTACTTTTCTGATACTACCAAACTGCTGTTCCATATAATGTATTCTGGTTTTCTGTCCGAGTCCTGTTAGCAATTGCATACCCCCACTAACTCAACAAAAACATTTATGTATATAAAAAGACTTTTAATTTCTACTGTAAATTTACATTTAAGTGAGTGAAAGAACTTGGAACTACTTTTCTAATTGTTACCAGTGTATATTTGACAGATTTTAGCAGTTGTTTATTAACATATTTGTCATTCACTTTAATTACAGTCAGAGACGCCATGGCACCTATCAAGTTTAACAGATGGGGTCTTCCTGAAGTAGATCCAGAAACAATGCAAACAAGTGAACCCTGGGTTTTCGCAGGGGGTGACGTTGGTGGTCTTGCTAACACTACAGTGGAATCGGTAAATGATGGAAAACAAGCTTCCTGGTACATGCACAGATACATACAGGTGATTTTTTTAAAAAGTGTTTTTCCCATTTCTATCTGCTTTTAGATACTTTTTAAAAGAATTTCACTGTGATTTAGATTAAATAGACAAGTTTTGAGAAACTAATACCTAGATTATCTGGTGATTTGAAGATTACAGATTCATTCGACTTGAATCACTTACTTGAGTTTGGGTAATTGAACCCGGCTTTCTTAGATTATCTTAACACTAAAATCCAAGCAACATTTTCTTGACCCCCACTCTGAATTCCACTCAAGGGTAGCAAGCCTCCCTGCACAATACACAGTGCAAGTCAAAGTCCCAATTGGGTTACTGGGGAAAAGAAGCGAACCCATCAGTATTAAAAAGTAAAATCTCCCAGTAGTGCATAAAGTAAAAATCAAATACTGCCAATGTTGTTACCTGAGGAAGACATTTCTAGAGTACTAAGTGTTTACAGAGCACTCGGATTATCTACACTGGAACCAAAGTTTGCTCTGATGAGGCTGGACACAACAGGCCAACAAAAAATAAACAATGAATGCACAGAGGAAAATAAGGCAAAGGAGAATTTACCTGAAAAATGTGAGTTTAAGGGGTACAGACTTGAAAAACCTGGTAACTGCATGTTCAATTTTGGTGCTTCTTGCATGTTGCTCACTGAACACCTCTACCCTAATTTTTCTAGTAGAACAAAGAGCACAAAGTCTAGAGGAGCTGCAGAGGAATGTTCAGAGACAGGAGACACAGCCTGTGTGTGGAGAACCAGCTGACAAAGAGTGTGTTCATAGTGCAAGGAACTTTTTAGAAACATGATACATGATTCATTCTCCCACAAAAAGAGATTTGAACAACTGAAGTTGGGACTGTAACAGCTCGATGTCTTTCTCCCCCATCCATCTGCTCAAAGCCTCTCTGATTGCATGTTTGTGCAATTTCATGCTGTTGGGGTCTGATTTCACTTCCTAAAAATACTTCAACTGAAAGCTTGTTGTTAGTATCTGTGCATATTTTTTCTCACTTGTTCTAAAGCACTTTTTTGAGTCCTGCCTTCTTAGACCCTATGAAAATGCTGAGTGTGAAACATCTTTAATCCCTGACCTGCTTGCTTAATTTCTCAGTGCGCAGTGAATTTGGGTAACTGTGATAGGTGGAGAGAGGGGTATCTCGTCCTTTTTGTCTCCTTCCCCTTTAACCTCTAGAAATACACACATCACTTTAAAACCCTCCTTTATCATGTTGCTTCCTCCTCAAAGCTTGCTTCCCCCCGACCCCGGAATGTGTTTAATACTTTGGGAAAATTCTGAATAGTCATGGCTTGAGAATTAGAATTTTAAATCAAGCAGATTTGTGATATTAGAGCATTTCTGGTACCCTTTGCAGGTTTCAAGGCAGCTTATTCAACCTTACAGTCTCACCAGGAAGCTAATGGGAAAGCCTTACAACAATCTTCACAGGAAAGTTTCCAAATGTCAAGTGTCACCTTTCCAGCTGTTAGATGAATGGGTTGCCCAGGGGCATTTATTTGGATGTGCAGCCCTTGTAAAATCTGGTTACTGTGGTGCAGAGTGCTATAATTTGGCAATTTACTTCACCAGTGTTTGGACCTGGTAGAAATTTGAGTGACTGGAGGAGAGTTTGTTTTTTAAAGAAGTTGTTTAGAGACGGGTTGTATTACCCTGATGTTTATAGGGATAGGTATGTGCATGCTTTTGTGCGCATGTGTTGTATTCTGTACAATTCTGTATTCTGGAAACTTCCAATGTCAAATGAAAAAACACCCTTACACACTACCTTATTTTCTCTCTACTGTGAGATTCTAAGGCAAACAATCTTCCTGTGATCTGAGTGTCTGAATTGAGTACGCATTAAATTTTAAATAAATAAATTGATACCATCTATCCATTTGCATTTTACTTATGGGAACAGGTAGCCATTTCCAAAATTGCCAGCCATCTCAGCACTGGGATCTATAAATAATGCAGTCAACCTTTAGCAAAATATAACTATTCCATAGGATTTCTCAACCAGCCCAAGACCATGTCAAAGACTGAAACTCAAAAACACCATCCTGACTACTTGCAGAATGCAGGGTTTGAATGGCACACTGCTTGTATCCCAACCTACTCCAGGCAAAAGGCTAAGCAAACAGATGGGCCTGATATGTGCCCTGAAACTCCAGTCATTGCAAGCTCTGGCACATGGTCAAGTGAAGCAAGAGATCCAGACTTGAGGACTCTCCAGCAGAAATGCCGTATGTTCAAAACTGGGAGTTATTTACAGAAGATTCTTGGCTGCTCTTATGCTGGAAACTTTCCATCATTAGTTGCCTAAATATCTCCTGCCTCTTAACATATTCCTCCCACTATATGGAGCATAGGTTCATCTCAGAAATTGTTGCCTGCAGCTGTGTCAGGTTAGTTTCTATAAACATGACCAGTCAAGGATAGTGGTAATAGGACCTGTTAGAAAACACAGTCAGTCTTCCTAGAACGGTTCTTTGCAAGTCATTAGAGATCCAAACAGAATCAGCCCAATTCACGTAACTATCTACTATTCACAACATTTTTTCAGTATTCAACCTTTATTCCATGAATGACATAAACATTTCTGTAAAATAATCTTGATGATTTGTTTAGTTTGCGGATTGTAATGACCCTCACTTTTGTCCAACAGTGACTTTATGATCTTCTGCAGAAGCAATACAGGCTGCTGTTCTCTTCTATGCCTCAGTTACCATTCGTTTCTTTTTGGTCATTGAAAGGGATTTAATAATAGAATAGTTATATTCAGGGTAATTCACAGTTATTGCAGGACTAACTTCTAGTTTTCTATGCCTGCCTTAAGAGCAAAGACAGCTCTCGCATTGCGATTCCTTCAGTATTTTCTTCCTGGACAACTGCACTGGCCTTAATGCTTCACTTCTGCTCTATTCATATGCTTACCTGTGGAGTGTTTTCCCATATGTGACAGTCAAGCTACCATCTTCTTCTCACTAAAATCCCTCTTAAAAAGTGACTTTTCCACTCTGATACACGGTAGGTTTTCTTTTATTTAAATCTATTTTTCTCTTTACTGTAATCTCCCCAGTGTGGACAGTTTCTTTTATATTTTTCCTAGACTGAAATGTGTGTGGTACCCTTAAAGAATAGAGGGCTGGATCCCAACTGATACAAATTGCACTTCAGTAAGACGCTATTCAGTATGAATTTTGAGCACATCACTGTGTTATTTTGAACCAGTATTGTATATTTGCTATTTTTTTCTTTATGCTGTCAAAAAGTATATGGGCTTTGTATCTGAAGAGTATAGTTGTTGATTCTTTTATGAAGGTTGACCGTTCTTACATATTCCTCCAGCATGCATGAATGTATATTATTTCATAATCAATACCAGAGATGGGTGGTTCCCAGGAAGCTTGTCTTTGAAGCCGTTAGTTATGTTGTCTGCTTCTTTTCAGGATAACCAAAGGAAAAATTGAATGTGCCTTTGTTTAGCTAGAACAACGTATGAAACACTAACATGGAGATGAATAATAAAGCACCATTTGCAAAAAGGTGTACTAAATGCAAGCGCAGGAAACCTGGTATTTTAGTTGCTTGCCACTCATTAAGCAATACATCTGTTCCAGAAACAGAAAGTCAGGAAGGAGCTTAGAAAATCTCTATCCAACTGGACAGAGCCCTGAGCAACCTACTCTGGTTAACCCTGCTTTGAGCAAGGGTGTTGGACTAGATGGTGCCCAGGCATCCTTTCCAACTCTAGCCATTCTGAGATTGTATGAAATAACATAAACATATTTAACAAAGTTAAATAGTGGATAATCAGAGAGAGGTTAGAAGAGCACGTGCAAAGGAGAAAAGATATGTTTTAAGATCAGACTTAAAAATAGAGAAAGCAGGAGTGAGATAAAAGTATTCAGGAAGACTCTTCCAGGCAGTAGGATTTGTAGAGAAGGCTCTATGTGAAAAAAAACAGTAATACAACTACTCACTTTCACAGTCTATCTTTGTTAAAGACCCGAGAACGGGAGTTAGACCATGTCACTTTGGTTAAGAATTTTCTCCATCTAAAGAAAATGAATGTCACAAATTTTATCAGGTCTAAAGCTGAGTTCCTGTCTCTCAGCCCTGCACTATAGACTGTGCTGCTTTTGCCTCTAGGTATATCCTGCTTAGAGAAAGGTAGGGCCACTGCGTGCTGTGTGCTGGGGATTTTTCGCCACACTGTTCCAGTATCCAAAAAATTGCTGTGACTGGAACAATACCTACCTGCAATAGTGTTAGCTCAACTGGTTGGCATCAAATTAGAGAAAGAATGGGCCACACTTTTTGTCCTCTATTTTTAAAAATCAAGGGAAGAGTTTTTATAAGTAAACACTTGCCTGCAGGCTTTCTTTTCCTATTTGTGCAATGTCAGGGAAATCCTTCATTATAAATACTTTCAGGAAGCTATAAAACATTTTAGTTTACCGAAAGTTTTACTTTGTAGAAAACAACATATCAGGACTTAGTAAATTTGTTTCTTTTATAAGCATTGTGCTGAAAGGAAAACCCAGCGAAAAAAATAAATAGAGCGAAATGGGAAGTCATAGGAAGGAGGGAGATAAATCTGCGAGGATGTATAGCCACTGGCTACTGAACCTTGGTCTGCATCCTGCCCCTGTGTGTTTTTAAAGACTTGGTTTATTCCATTGAAACCTTTTCTAATCCTCCCCCTGCCACCTCCACCTGGTTCACCTCATCATTAACAAACCATTAGGCACATCTTGCAGTGCTTGGGTGCATCTGGGTGGAACTGTTTGTGGTTTCGCTCTTTGTGAGGGAAGTTTGGCAGGAAGAATAGGCCTCTCTGCACATGGTTTGGGAAGTGGCTTATGACCAGTTTGCATGATGGCGTGCAGGAGGCAAGGCCTATTTTTGCATGGGTGTATTCAATGACCTGATTCAGAAGTCTTTCACTGCTCTGGTAGATTTTCTTTTTTTGTCTTGTATTGGTTTTATTTTCAGTTTTATCACAGAAAGCTCATTTGAGGTGTCTACTTAAGAATCACTTTCAAGCAACGCTCATTTTAGGTGAGAACAACTTTTAGAGATTAAATTGTCCTGCTTGGGAAAAGAAACAATACAATGTAACTTAAGCTGTGTATTAAGCACTCAATCTGTCTATCTGTCTGTAGCAATCAATAGTAATGGTTATACAAGCAAAGATAGTCTGTGAGTAATCCACGGACTGAATTATATTCACAGAGAACATTTGAACAATTCTGGATAGCAAATGAATTAACAAATGAGTGCTTTCAAAATGGAAAATTAGATTTATTACTCACATATGCACAGAGTGGAATATGCCAAAAACCTTTCCATAAGTCTTTGCTGTCATTCTTACAGAATCAAAGTCAGAGTTCAGTGTAAAAGTTCAGTATATCAGTATTGATCTCAGAGCGTTTCCCCACTTCCAAATATGTAGGAGACAAAAAGTGCTAACATTTTTAAAAAGCTTTAATTTTAGTCATGTGATCCAGGAAGTTCTGTTTTGGCTTTGTGAACAACATTTTACAGTTGAAATTTTAGTTAAGATTAAAAAAAAGTAAAAAGATTAAGTTGAACCCAAAATAATCAAAAGACAATACTTTTTTCTTCTTTTCTTTTTCTTTGATTTGTCAGTTAAGAAAAGCTTTTGAGGTGTCTCTACCTCTTTGAGGTGTCAGTCTGTTTGGTCTTCTAAGAACTCCGATTCTCCTGGTGTAGAACAGCCCTGGAGTATGACATGGAGGAAACAGTGAGCACTCAGGAGGGAGGAAATGGGGGATGTATGGCTTTTTATAAAGTGTGGCTGCATCTGCTGCTAGCTGGGAGAGGTCGTGATACTGAAGGGAGTTTGGTCCCAAGTGTTAGGGTTCTTTTAAAAGTAACTTTTCTCAAAATGTCCACTATTAGGGACACATTGAGGTTTGAATCATTCAGGCTAGGACAATTCCACTACTTTCAGTGCTTTTAAGCCATCAGAAAATTTGGCCCTCAAATGTATCCTTTCTGTCTGAGGAATCAAAGATCTGATTCTGACACATGAATCCAGGCAGTCCCAAAACAAAACAGACATGTGAACTCTCAGGTTTTGAACCAGATTAAGAAACAAAAGGCTGTAAAACAAACAAAAACCCCCTCATTCCATCTATGCTTACTGGTTTTCACAGGTGAAATGGGGTAAGTTACTTCCTTTTGAAGGAAAACAACCCAAAAGGCAGCTATTTGTAAGTCGCTGAGATTTTTACTCTGTTACAGGAAATCTTGCCCACACCTCCACTAGTGGTTCTTTTTGTC